GATCTAAATTTGTTATAATCACCGTGTATGTTGATGATTTAATATCATTGAAACTCCTAGGGAGCTTCCTAAAGCAGTAGAGCTTCCTAAAGTAGTAGACTATCTAAAGAAAGAATTTGTAATGAAATCTTGGAAAGACAAAATTTTGTCTTGGTCTACAAATTGAGTATATGAAAGATGGAATGTTTGTCCATCAATCAACATACACTAAAGTGATTTTAAAGCGATTTTATATGGATAAAGCACATCCATTCCGACCTCATGAAAATAATGAAGAGCTTCTTGGTCCCGACGTACCATATCTTAGTGCAATTGGTGCACTAATGTATCTTTCTAACATTACAAGGTCTGACATAACTTTTTCAGTTAATGTCTTAACAAGATATAGCTCTGCTCCTACAAGGAGACATTGGAATGGAATCAAACACATATTGCGATATCTAAAAGGGACTATCGGTATGGGATTATTTTATGAAAATGATTGCAGTCCCGATCTTGTTGGTTATGCCGATGCTGGGTATTTATATGACCCACAAAAGGTTCGATCTCAAACAGGCTATGTGTTTACATATGGAGGCACTGCCATATCTTGGAGATCGACTAAGCAATTAATCGCGACTACTTCATCTAATCATGATAAGATAATTGCTATTCATGAAGCAAGTCGAGAATGTGTATGGTTGAGGTCTATAATACACCTTATTCGAGACAAATATGGTTTGAAGTGTGACAAACCACCAACAATTTTGTATGAAGACAATGCAACATGCATATCCCAGTTGAAGGGAGGATTCATAAAATGGGATAGGACAAAGCACATTTTACCAAAGTTATTTTTTACACATGATCTTCAAAAGAATGGTGATATCAATGTGCAATAGATCTGTTCAAGTGATAATATGGCTGATTTGTTCATTAAATCTCTATCGACGTCAACCTTCAAGAAACTAGTGTACAAGATTAGGATGCGAAGGCTCAAGGATGTGAATTGATGCTCTCATCGGGGGGAGTTAATACGCGTTGTACTCTTTTTTTCTTACAAGGGTTTTCCTTGCAAGGGTTTTAACGAGGCAACCAAAAAGCGTATTTCTAAATATGTGTACTCTTTTTCCCTTACTAGGATTTTTTTTCCCATAGGTTTTTTTTTAATAAGGTTTTAACGAGGTACATTATCTATGGACATCCAGGGGGGTGTTATAAGAAAAATCAAATTATGGTGGATGTCTACTCTTCCTCCATAATCTTCTCAAATGCTTAATTACATATTCAATGACATATTTCTATGCTTAATGACATATTCAATGACATATTTTTCTTCACTTTTCATGCCTATATAAAGGCCTTGTAATAGATAGGAAAATACACACAATTGAAGAAGAAAATCTCTTCCTTCTCTCTATCTCCATTTCTTGTTCATGTTTTACTAAATTGCTTTTATTTCATAACAACATGTCTTGTTCATGTTTTACTAAGTTGCTTTTATTTTATAACAAATTTATCTTTATCGTATCTTTTTATATAATAATTTTACCATGTTCTTACCTTTTTTATGTAATATTGGTATGTGACATCATGAAACGATAGCAAACGATACAATCTATCCAAATATTATATTTATCAAAATAATACAATACAATACAATAGCATACAATACGACACATTATGAAATGACGTATAACAATCATATATACAAGTTGTAACGACTTAAAAATAGGATAAGAACTGTTAAGATAGACAAAGCACTGATATATTTATGTACACATTATTAGTTTGTTAGTCAGAGTTAGTCAATTAGATTAATGTTCGTTTAGTTGTTAGCTCTTCATGAGTTGTTGCCAGCTTTTAGGTTAGTCTACATTTCTTCTTACACGTATATATAATGTAAGAGCTATAGTGAGTGAGATTATTTTACATTTTCCACATTTTCTCTCATACTCTATAATGTTCTCTTCAGCCAACTGCTAGTAGCTTCAGCTCAAGTCTTCTCTTCAATGGAGTCCACACCTCACATATTATGAGTTTCAACATGGTATCAGTGCACAACTTTGTTTTTCGCTTTATATCTCACTCAATCTTCAATCGATTTCACTAATTCAATCGATTTCACTGGCTCAATCAAATCTAGGGTTTTCCAAAATCTTGAAATCAATTTTCTTTTTGTGAGAATTTTATTCGTTATTCTTCTGTCAGAGTGCACTCTCATCTTCCTCTTTCGATACTTCAAACCATGGCCAGAGAAGAGGATGTTGCTGACCCAACTATTCGTCAATCGGAGAACACTAGGTCCGATTTGGTGAGAGATGTCATGGATTTGACCAATCCTTTATACATGCATCCATCAAAGAATGCTGGATCGACTTTGGTAACAATACATTTTGATGGAGTAGGATACAAATCCTAGAGGAGAGGAGTTTTGTGAGCCCTCTGAGTGAAGAAAAAAATAGGTTTCATTAATGGCAAATGCAAAAGGCGTAATACTGATTCTGCAAATTATAGACAGTGGGAAAGGTGTGATGATATGGTCACCTCATGGATCTTGAACTCGCTCCCGAACAGCATAGCAGATAGTTTACAATATGTGAATGACGCGAAGGAACTTTGGCATAAATTGGAAGATAGGTATGATCAGACCTGTTACGACTAAAAAATTACATGTCGTGAAGGTGCCTATCTCAATACTAGGCAAGTCGATAACCTCAATAAAACACTATAATCTTTTAAGTTTGAAAACATAAAATTTAGATTTAATAGAAAATCCCACAAATACTGGTACAAATACACTCCCAAAAATTGGTGTCACTAAATACATGGGCATCTAAATGATAACATAGTCTGACTGACACAAACACTGTCTGGAAATGTAGAACAATACAAAAAACTAAAAGGAAAGAGAGTCGAGGTATGCGGATGCCAAGA